ACATCCACTATTTCACATGGGTGACAAGGTATGATTACTTCATTGCAATATCAAGACCACTCGTCCTTGTAACAAGTTGGACTATCGAAGGCTTGGACCATTTTCTATTTCTACACAAATCAATCCAGTTGCATATCGTTTATATCTATCGGAGTCAATGAAAATCTATCCAGTATTCCACATGTCTTTTCTTAAATCATACAAGACAATAGACATACCAAAAAGAAGACAAGATCCACCTCCTCTTGTAGAAGTAGATAATAATAAAAAGTTCAAAGTCAAAGAAGTCTTAGATTCAAGGCGACGCCAAAATAAATTAGAATATCTTGTCCATTGGCACGGATATGATATTAGTGAATGTACATGGGAGCTAGTAAAAAATCTTGCAAATACAACAAAGGAGGTAGAAGCTTTTCATTGACGACATCCATCAAAATCAAGATAAAAACCTTCCTTATAAAAGAAACAAGATCTAGGCAAGTTAACATTGCACTTTCAATCCTTGTTTGTAGCTTCTTTGTAGTTGTGATGTTGAGGAGATGGAGAACTAATAACCTAAAGATTCTACTCAAGAGCCTTTGTTTGCTAACCTGCCAAATGAGACATTACAACTATCACAACCTTTAAGACGATGTAATCGAGATGAAGATCTTCAAGAATAACATATTCTTCCTTGAATAGATGGTGAGATACAATTTATTTGATATCACGACCATGGAAGGGACTCCCGATGTTTGGTGATTTTACTAGAGGTAGGAACAACTCCAAATGGTGTTCCAAATGTTTATTTGAAAAAAGTTATGAAGGCATCAACAACGATCAAATAATTGGGTGGTCTTGCGGCCTTAGTATGGGACATTGTCGATGGTTGAGAGGCCTTATCAATCATCTTCGAAGAGAACAAAGATCAAAGTATGTGGTAAATATAATTTGTCGCATCATAGATTTTCTCAACATATGATGACCGTTCTTTATAGAACTCGTGCCATGAAGGGGAGATAATATCTTAGATATATACATGTAAGCTAGTAATTATATGTATAAATAGGTAGAAATAAATAAAAGTAGATAAAAATAAATTAATTCTATAATATTTGCTATGAAAGCTTCTTAGAAGTTTCATAGACACTGCTTTGACTTTATATGTGTCTTTAATTGACTTTTGGATTAGAAACGTGGTGTCAAGGACAAAAACTCGATGAAAAAATAATTCAGACAAGTATGCCTTCACTTAAAGAAAGGAAACAAAATATAAATAAACAAGTATGTATATTGAAAGAAAAACTGGAATGGCTATTGCCAAAAGACAAAGAAACTAGAGACCCTTGAAACTAGACTAGAAGCAAGAAAGGAGTTGACAAGAGTGAAGAAGGCTTCACTCTTGTCTCTATATATACTATCTAATTAGTGGCTATGTGGCGATGTTCTATAGGACCTCCAATATGTGTTGACTTTGTAGGACACATGCCTTAACTTACAAGACAAGTTTTTCTATGTGTGAGCCACATAGTTAGCTTGGTCTTCAAGCTAACAACATGTGTGGCACATGGCCAACTTGTTGACCACGTTTCTAATCCAAAAAGTCAATTAAAGACACCTATGAAGTCAAAGCAACATCTATAAAGCTTCTAGGAAGCTTCCATATCAAATACTATAGAATTAACTTACTTTTACCTACTTTTATTTACTTCTACATATTTGTATATGTAATTATGAGTATGTCCGTGACATGTGGTCAACAAGTTGGCCATATGCCACACATGTTGTTAGCTTGAAGACCAAGCCAACTATGTGGCCTACACGTAAAAAACACTTGCCTTGTAAGTCAAAGCATGTGTCCTACAAAGTCAACATATATTGGAGGTCCTATAGAACATCGCCACGTAGCCTCTAGTTAGATAGTATATATAGAGATAAGAGTGAAGCCTTCTTCACCCTTGTCAACTTCTTTCTTGTTTCTAGTCTAATTTCAAGGATCTCTAGTTTTCTTGGCTTTTGGCAATAGTCATTCCAGTTTCTTTCTTAATGTACATATTGAGTTATTTCTATTTTATCATCTATTTTTGAAAAAAATCTCACTTGTTTATTTTTTTTTATCAAGTTCTTGTCTTTGACAAAGAGAGTGTTTATACTTTATTATAGCTTCTTTAGTTCTTCCAATTCTCTCTTCCCTAACTAGTCATTGACTTTATTTCATAGATTCTACAAAGTGTATGAAGATCTTCAAAGATATTGTTTTGCATGCCCTATGGAGAATTATCAATAAAATCTATAGGATGAACAAAATTAATTCCATGTATATTGAAGATGACATGTACAATTAGATAATTACCTTACAATTGAAAACTCAATAAGTAAAAATCAAACAATAACACTCTACCATTAAAATTACCTTCACTAAATCCTTGAGGCATTCTACAATTTTCAATTATGCTAATTGGTGTCAAATTATCTATATTACAATAAGGGATTGAGTTGAAGGGAGATATTGATAAAACTTCCAAACATCTCATAAAAGTGGCATCTACATCATCTTTACTATAACACTTATCTCATATCAATTCACCCACAATAAATCATTTCATCTATAGTACTTATCTCTCATCATTTCACCCACTAAATAAATTGAGAATAGATTATTAATTTAGGGTTAAACCAATAATACATACAAGCATATAGTATGAGGCATTGTAGCTATATTTGTAGTTGAGCTTTGCTTGCTTAAGTGTATTGAACTCTGTTTTAATCTACAAGTACGCCCATTCCTACGAGTTTCCACAGCATAGTCTTTTAGGATGTTGGAAGAACATATGTTATAAGTGGTTTGATGAAAGTGGTTGGGGTTAAGTTGCAACCCACAAGTTGTACTCATCAAGTACAGCACGCGGCCTACCAACACGTCTCACAGCATGAACCTCCCACGCCTCTGCAAATCCACGCTCACCAACTCAACTGCCACCGACACACGTTCACATGGGACGACCTCCCCACCATCTCAAATTACTGCAACTTCAGCTGATGTTGCCAGACACGACGGTTATGTCGTCCACAAGTCAGCACCCACAGCAGAACACCCCATTTCCTCAACACAACCTTGTACCTCACCATCGATGTTTGTGCAGAATTCCACACCCAGTATGTCGTCGTTCTAGACTACAGTCCTGTATCCGTTGTTCGCATTGAAGCTCAATGATCCCTGACCTGCCGATGCTCTTCGAGAGCCTCACGGATGGCATTGTGTGCAATTGTTGCCCCAACCTGACTTGCCCGAGCACCTCCTCCAAGTGAGACCTCCACATAGTACTGCATGGTCCCAGCTTGTCGCTCCACATGTTGCACAGTCTACAGATCCATGTCCAAGGCGTAGACAGGGCGACGAAGCACGAGGACGACAATGTACATCAGGATTACCATGGCTGGCATACCTAGGCAGCAGTGCCACACCTTCACACACAGCCTACAAGTGCTGCTGCGAGTGCGGCAAGTCCTCTTCCGAGACTCAGCCTCTCCAACCACATCCCTGGTAATGCTAGAGGAACATGGTCTCTCTGTTCCAGCCCAGCCACCTGCCTTCTTTGTTTCTCTCTTCTGCAAAGACAACTGCTGGGGCAGATGCACTCAGTGCGGCGTAGTAATTCATAGAAAGGTGAATGCGGGAGCAACATTCTACTGCAATCACTTCAAATGGACATCACATTCATTTAAAACTTATTCGATTATATTCAACTTTTGCTTATTAGTTTTAGTGCTTTCGAAACATGTGCGTTTTGATCATATTCGCTTACATAAAACTTGCCGTAAAATTGTGACGTATTCATTTCTTTCCTTTTTTTATTTATTCTTTATTTTTAAATAATTACTTGTCATTTCAGGCACAGTTTTTTTTATAACACTTGTAAATCACTGCATTTGTAAACACATTTCTTCTAATATGTCAGTATGTACAAAAAATTAGTAAGTTAGTTTGTTTTTTATTTAACATTTCAAAACTGTTCTTTTGGTGGATATTGGTAATTGTGCGGCATATACATTGCCCTTGGTCAGATTGTGTTGTAAATTACTTGAAACAAAGCCAGATTTTATGCCCATAGTTTAGGCATTTGCAATAAATGTACACAAGTTCTTTATATGACATTAAAGTATTTAAAATTAAACTTATAGCTAATGTTTAAGTTATAAAAAAAAAAACTTGAATTTATCTATGAAGTTTTTGTAATCTTTAATGACTTAAACATGCCATTTTGATTGAAAATGTAAAAGGCATAACATAACAACTTTAGTTTAGTCTTTATTTAAAGACAACACTTATGGTTAATCTTTTAATTTAATTCTAATTTTATCATATTTTGATTTTAATACATATTAAAATACTATAAATAAATAAATAATCATATAAAGTCCTAATATTGTTCACATATTATATATATTTGATATTTTGAAATAATTTTTAATATAGTTTTTAAATTATTAATTTTATGTTTAAATATATTTATACTTAAATAGTAAATTTACTATTAAAATAATTATACAATGTGATTCAATAATTTAATCTAGTTTTTTTTATATTTTTTTTAATGAACTTAAGAATTTATAAATGTTTTCTAGTAATATCATATGATATATATGTTACTAATATATTCTAGTAATCATTATATGATGTTATTTTATGTTCATGATATTCAACCATAAGGTTAATTGATGCATCTGTTATTGTTACATGCATTATATATGTAAGAATGTGGGTATGTGTAGATAGAAAGGAATAAATAATATTCCAATATCAAGTTGGTATTTTTCTAATAATAGTTTGAAACATTATAATAAACAAAAGAATAATATATCAATGTAAGGAGAAATATGAGAAAATCTAAGAGTAAGGCACTATTCCTGGAAACTATATTCCTCAAACAAAATAATTTTTTGAAAAATTGTGTGGGTAAAACGGGCCATGGAGCCTTAATTCACACCGTGGTGCGGGCAAAGGGTCCTAAACCCCGGGGAAGTGCCGTGACCTAAAATCCTCCGAGATAGAGCGATGTCGCGGGGTCGTCGCGTGGGCGTGAAATTTTGCGGTGCTGGTTGTAGATTGTGGGCGACTACGATGCTGGTGTCGAAACAGGAAATACGATGACAGGAAAGGTCTCCTTCTCCAACTTCTGCTCTTAATTTGTTGGTGGAATTGGCGAACGGCGTCGAATTGCCATCGACGAAGCTGGCATTCGAGCGTTGATGGAAGAATTCGTAGTTTTCCTCGTTGCATTGAATAGGGGTTGGCGTTTGTGATTGGTGATTGATATCCCAACTTTCTTAGAGTGGTGCTCCACAATTTGGTCGCTTCCCTGTACTTTTTGAATTCGTGAGAGATTTTGGGGTTACGATGATCTGCAGCATGGCTATGGCGCAGGCCTCTGTAAACACATATCCTCAAACAGTTTCCGGAAGCAGCTTCAGCAGCAAGCTGCAACGGCCTATTGTTTTAGGGGTTGAGTCGCCCTGGACTTCCACCAAGGGCCTCACACTAAAGTCGTCACAACTATCGTCCAGAAAAAGTATGTGGATCCTGAAACCCTTGTGTCACCCATTCATGTTTTGTACACCATTCCATAGTTCATCGACTGTGCCAGGGTTGTTGTGTGAGTTATCTGACTGTGGTTGCATTTTGTATAAGATTGTTCGGATTCTTTTGATTGTATAAAATTGATTGAAGCAATTTATCCATTTGCACTCAGATGTGACGAGCAGCTTCTTTGTGCTTCACGTTTCTCCATTTACCAAAGCTTATAAAAAGGGTTCAACAAAGTTCGGTATTTTATGGCAAAGACGAGTTTGCAGAAGAGTTAGGTGCCATTTGGAAGAAGTATCTCCTTCGCGGGAGGATGAATCTACTCCGGATGGAAATGACACTGTGAGCCATCGACCTTGACCTTCCAATTCAACCAGCTCGTTGTTTTCGTGAGGGTATTATCTTTCCTTTGTCTTTTGTTCGTACTGGATCGATGTTAACCTGGCTAACACAGGTGTTCCATACATTTGGTGAGCGTATGCTAGTGTTGTAGGTATTGTGACGGCTGTTAGTCTAAGTCGTTTGTGCCACTATCATTGAAAGAGATTGGCAAAATAGTTGAATTCTCTGGATTAAATCGATTCTCTTTTTTAGGTTAATTGAAATTAGGTTTTTCCTGTGGTTGTGATCTGAAGGTTCAATTCGATTTGAACTTACCTCGAAGATCAGCACTTTTGGAATTCACATGTAATGTTTGTAAGGCTCGTACCCAGCGTATGATTAACCCAGAGGCATTTCGGCGGGGCACAGTTTATGTTCAGGTAGGGTTTATGGGTCTCTTTCTCACTCCCGTTGCTTAATTGCTTAAGTGCAAGTGCTTTCAGATTGTGAAGTTCCGTTGAATCCTGATTATGCAGTTCCATTCTTTCATGTCACATACAGCAAGATATGTCTCGTACTGAGGTTGGAAATGTTTGATATACCAGTGTGGAGGTTGCCAAGCTTATCATCAACTAGTGGATAATCTAAATCTTGTTAAAGAGTACCACTTCAGGAACGAGATTGATTCAATGAAAAATGATTTGGGTAGTTGATGTCATAAAAACTCTTCAAAGGTTGATTCTAGAGACAATAGATGACATTGGGATGAAGTTAATACTCTAGGTTGTTCTTTACAGCATGGCTTAGTTTCAAAAGTCAATGGCTGGCGTGGCCTGCTGTTCTTTTACGAAATGCATTTGTTGTAATAACTGGTTTTTGTCCGAAACTTGGGGTCACCAATTTTCTTCGATAGCACAGGTTGTGCACCCACTGTTGCCACATGCAAGGAATGTCTTGTATTCAAGTGGCATGGAATAGTCTACCAAACAGTAATATTGCAACTTCTGTTCACTAATCACTTCATGGACAATTAAGGAAAAAGTGGGCCATTAATGAAAATTTACATGTTCCAAACTTCATGAAACTCTGCGATCTAAATTGCTCTCAGGAAAGCAAGCTGCTGGGACAAAAGGTTTTTAATAGCTCCAAGCATCACGACCGAGCCATCTGCGACCTTCGATCCGCCACGCAAACCTTGAAAAGTTGGATTTGAAAACCTCCTATCGTGCTGCACTCTCTGGCATCCCTGCTCAGCAGTTCTTTACTGCAATGGATTTAAATCGTTAGATGAATGCTCCTGAGTTTTTGGTTCGACAAGGCGAATTCCGACCCAACAAGAGTTGTACAATTATTTGATTCGAAGTCATTCTTCATATTTCACATGAACAGGTTCATAAACCAACGAACCAGCTCTTTGCGCTGGAACGATTGCTGTGGGTTTCGACGCAGGTGAACTATTCTATTGTGTTCTTAATTTCACAAATTAATGTGTTTTCAATGAATTAAACACTTAATAAATTGACACAAGTATTGAAGTGTCATGCACTTTCATAATACTTATGCTACCAAGAAGGCAAGGGAGTTCTTAAGTACTATCAAAGAGTTGTACCTTCCAAAATTATTTGAATTTGTAAGTTAGAAGTTATATGACAATTTTCATATGATATATATGAAAATGAATTAAATACATGAAAAATAATAGTACCAATAAAATAGAGGGTTAGAAACAAAAATTTATAATGGATGGATAATAGATGGATGAGTTTTTGTGTCAATTTTTTAAAAGTATTAAAATGCTTGGCTAAAAATAAAAAAATTTACAATGAGTTTTGGTATTGAAATGCTTTTGTGAATGAAATTGCTAATTAAAAGCTTTATATATATATATATATATATATATATAGATACATATACTAGAAGGATGTTAATTTTTTAGTTGATTAATAAAAATTTAATATTTTTTGAGTTTTTTAATTCTATATATAATAGATTATATTTATATTGGAAAGTAGAGTATACCTCTTTTTTATTAATCGGCTTAAATCTATAATGTCTAATTGATCTTCATTGATCCAAGTCTTTTTAATCTTCTTTAAGTAAAATAATTCTTTTTAGATTCTTTACAAATTAAAGTTACAATCTTTTTTCAACTTGCTTGGCCACAATCTATTAATTTTAGCCATATTATTTCATTTATTTTATCTTCAATCCATATGTCTTGTATAAGAACAAATCATTTTGGTGCTCCTATGTTATCAAAAAATAAGCACTTCTAATTAGAAGTCATGATACTTTCACGTCTTTGATGTAATTAAAATATTAATTGTTAGAGTTAAAATACTCGTTTAATTGCATTTCTTGAGACTTTTCTATTCAAATAATACAAGTTGGTGTATTCCAAATTCCAAATTTTTTGATTTAAAAGAGAACTCCATAAAATAAAAATAAATATTCTAAAATGATTTTAGAATACAAATAAGACGTAATTTATCATTAGTAGTTTTAATATTTTGTCTCTATGTATTTATAACATATTCTATGTTAGACATATAAGAATTCTATATTCTATGTTAAATAAATTCTATAAAAAAAATATTTTTATTTTTTGTTTTATAATTTTCTAATTTATATGAAATTAGACAAAAAAAACCTTGTTAGATTTAAATATTTCGATAGATATTTTATTTTATTTTATTTTATTGATATTTCTTGATCTATAGAAGTTAGACATATAAGAATTTTATATTACAGCTAAATTTGGCTAGTTAATCTTAAGACCAAAAGGTATATTAAAAATATTGATAAAATTTATACTAATGTTAATATTTTTTTGTTTCCTTGGGAAATGTTGTGGTTAAATTTTTATAAAAATAAAATCTGTTGATTCAGTTTTAGACTTTGATAAAATATATAATTTGAATAAAATGAGGCTTTTCTTTAAAAAGTGGGTTCAATTGATAGTTTCATGACTTAATATATTGTCTAAGATGTATTTTAAACACATGACTTAATAATATGTTGTCTATGATATATTTTAAATATAGATTATTTGTCTAATTATGATTTATGATTTTATATAAAATTGATTGAACTTGCATTTAAAAGACTTTAAAAAATATCTTAAATATAGATTTACAAAAGATGATGATGTATTAATTTCTAAAAAACTCTCTTTAATATTGTTTTAAAGATTTGAGTAATTTAATCTTGTAAAACAAATTGGATTTTTTTTTTTTTTTTTTTTTTTGAAAAATAATTAATAAATACTAATAAATATTTATGTTTAATATTCTAAAAGCTCTTAAAATTTTTAATTTTAATTTAGTTCTTAATATATCTTTAATTAATACTTTAATTTCCTTATGCATTTTATATAAGAAAAAAAAATTATTTGAATGTGGCGTGCATATAGCAAACTTATCTTGCAAGTTAAACACGTGTCTCACAAGTTGTATATGTATTAGAGGTCTTATAGAATGTATATTCTAAAAACTCTTAAAAATCTTTTTTTTTTTTGTTTTTTTTTAAAAAGAAAAATGAATATCCTTCTTTATAGAAACATTCATTTTATATGAGTGGTTGTAGATTACATCCT